CTTTTTAGAGGGAATCCCTATGCCAAGTCTGGGGCACTATGGCCACTTGGAGCTTCTGCTGTCCTTGTTATGCACTTCACATTAATTTTATCCATGCGCTGTTTTGGATCTATAGGGATTTACATTTCAATGTTCATTGAGATACTGAAGACGTTGGGTAAAGTTTTGTCAATATTTGCTCTGTTCGTTTTCTCCTTTGCTTTGGTGTTTTTTACACTTCTGAAAGAACAGGCAAGTTCAATGTTATGTTTTTCTATATTCTTGTACTTACGATAATCCCACAGGGCAACTTGTCGAATATCATTAAGTGGAAGGACCATTCCTTTACTAGATTTTGTCCACTTTCCACCAAATATGATAGACCCTTTAGGTTTCTTTTTGCCCCAATCCGAAGTAAGAATCCTATCACTTTATTTTTTTTTACCACAGAAGTCTGTGGATATGCACTGATCGTTTTCAATCATTTCCATGAGCAAACGATAGTAAAAGACCGGCGGCCATGTTGGAGGAATGAACAATAGATACTAATGAGAAATCCTTTGTTGAAGTTCCTCCAATATGGCCGCTGTGACGTATAGTGAAAACGAACAATACGCATATTGACGTTTATGCCATTGTATTTTAAACATAGCCACCCTTTCGAACGCTGGGCTGGTCATTTGTCAAGACAAGCATGATGGTGATTGGAGATATCGACTATGATGGTTTAATAACTGACAATCTACAAACCAGAAACCCCATTACGGATGCTCCATATGTACCAGTTCCTGTATTTACATCTTCCATTTTMATGCTCTTTGGCTTCATCATGGCTGTCCTTTTTATGAACCTTTTGGTAAGTAACAGAAAACTTTTTCCAAACGTTTTCCAATTCGAGTAGCTCGTGTGTATCTCCTTGCTTACCAGAAGCAGTGTAGCGAGCCATGGAAGAAGGGAAGAATAGGMGATCCTCTTGAGAACAATTTGCGTCTCTCCTCGCTTCAATTCCATGGGCTGATATATACCAGGCATGGGAGATTCAACTAGCACAGAATCTATATATGTGCCCCTTCCAATTTCTGGATCCGCCCCTCAATCCCAAATAGCCCATGCCATAAGGAGAATTGATGGTGGTTCTGAGGTCAACAATTTGCCTAGAGAMGGGTGGTTGCGCGAAAAGTTGATCACACTGAAGGTGCACTCCATGCTACTTAATATCAATTTCTCGCGCAAATTGCTGACCCATACAAAACATCACCCTTTTCTAAGTGTTTCTTCCTTTTCGTCTTCCTTTCTTCCCACTTGCTTTCAAAGAGGTCACGTAGACCTTGAATGAATTTGAAATGCATCAAAGGAGCTCGTTCGGAGGGGCAATACAAAACACTTTAGCAGTCTCGGGGACTAGAACTATTTTGTCCGACAGGTAGAGTTCCATTCAGAGTTGCACAACTGCAATCTAATCACGCATGAAGATTGCTATATACACATATTTTTGAAAATTTACTTACTTTCAATGATAACAGATTGGTTTGGCCGTTGGCGATATTGACGGCATTCAAAGRAACGCATCATTCAAGAGAAAGGTCATGAAAGTTAACTTGATTGTTGAACTTGAAGAACGCTACCCAAGAAAACTAAYTGAAATGCTTGGAATCAAACCGATTATGGTTTTTAAGCCCAACGAAACAACTGGCATCACTAATCACTTCTTGTGAGTATTCTTAAGGTGTTTCGATCGTAATAAATAGCGCTTCGCGCGTTAGTTGGAGTTGGACATAGTTGGAGTTTAAAAATACGCGCGAAACGCTATTTATTACGATCGAAACACCTTAAAAGCAATCCATAGTTAGTGCAACTAACTATGAGTAATCAGATTATACAGAAACCCCTTATGAGTTTCTGGATTATACGAATGGCGCTAACTTTGTTAGATGTTGTTGGACGTTGTTTTTTTTTGGGAAGAGTATACCTCTTCCAAAGGAAGAAACCCGGACGCCCCCATCGGAGAGACTTCGGCACGTGCGAGATACGACGTTTTATACAAGCCTTTGTAATTTTAAYATTCTCACTTTCTCTTCTTCAAGGTTCAAGCTCTTATACTCGATAGACGTGTCTATATTCCTTGATACAAGAACGACAGAGAAGGAATTAGATTTGGCTTCTGAACTGATCGAGCAGAAATTCCGCACGAAGGAGCTGCAAGAATCAATGGAAGAGCAAAGGAAGCTTTTGGTCTCAATGRCAAAGCAGTTACAAATACTTACTGGGTTTACAAGTCCACATGACGTCCGTTTGATGTCGGTAGAGACAGTAGATTTTGGGAGACCTGYGAGTCCAGAAGCAGGAACTAGTCCAAGAAGCGTACCACCCTCCATGCTTTAATTAGCCGTTTGGGAACAATGTAYAGATTGTGTTAGAACAATAGAAGCTTCAGTTAAATTCGCTAGGTCGCTATTCKTTATATTTGGATGTTTTCTTTTATAAGTTTTTTTATACAGTATAATTAGACCGCATTTTCCATACTGATTTTCTCAAAAAAAAGGAAAAAAGGAAATCAAATAAAAAAAGAGAAAGAGATAATATCTGGGCCAAAATTAAATTTTCATGTTAAAATGTTCAGTAAATTTAATAGTGAAGGCCATGCAAGTTGAAAGCGCGTCCACGACGCAGCCACGTTTTCTATTTTTCGCGCGCTTTTTATTTATAAAGCAATAAATTATTTCCTGTTGTAATTCTTAATTTATTTTGTTTCAGTATTTTTTGTAACATTATAATATATAACTAATAATAAAAACTTAGCCTGTTAAACACTACATCAAACAAAAGAAAAACGATCAAAATAAAGTTGCTAACTATATTATAATCTTGGCGTTACAGCATGTTATTTGCAATGACTTTATAAAATAACTATTCTTAGCATATTCTGTTTTCAGAAATGAATGTATCTACAGCATGCATTTTCCAACCTTATTTTCTACAATCTAATTTACTGGAATGCTTGGTTGTATCTCTATGTATTTTTCAAGACTAGTCTGAGTTTTAGTAAAAACAAATATTGGATATTTTTCAAATGAACAACGTTCACATTTCAATTTGTAGCACAGCTTTGRCAGAGTTCATCGCTTGATTTTTGAAATGTCTGGTAGTCGGGGCTGGTATTGGAGTTGATTGGTGCACCAACATCATCATAATCTTTGTTTTTTGATCTCATATTTACGATCATTCCAGGGCAGAATTTGTAACAGCACTTACYAAAAACCAGTCGTATTTTACTCAGGAATTTCTCAGTAAAGAAGCAGAAGATAAGAAAGTTGAAAAAGCCTGGTGCATTGTCTCCAATACCCTGAAAGGTTTAATGTGATAGATTAATATCAATTTATAATATACTTTTGATGACTTTATTTACAATAAGGGGAATCCTGGAGTCTGAAAAAAAACCTTTATCTAGAATGTTTCAGAATAGTTTTAAAATAAAAAAGAGGGGGTCTATTTTCAATAATCCTCGACTAGCTAAAAGCGACTTTTTTTGCATATTTTTAGAAATAAAAACATTTAGTTATTTATATATATTTCATTCCTTTTTGTCTAACTAGTATGGTAATACTAAAACAATAGTCAACTTTAGATATTTTGGTTTGATGACTATGTACAAAAGAACACACACGAGGCTCCGGGAAAACAATGGATAATCTTGATTTATTCTTTTATTTCTCCGGAGCCTTGTCTGCAATTCTTTTGTGTATGGTCACTGAAGTAAAATATCTAAAGTTGGCTATTAGATCTCTTGGCGATTTGGCCTCATGGTATATCATCTTGTAGTCCACTTGCCCTCGAGATTTAATTGTTAAGTATTTCGCTCAACCTCATGGTCTAAATATTATTAAAAAATACACGGTGCCTGCAGAGATGCCTGGTTGACTTTATAAACACAAATGTATACTAAAAGTCAAGGAAAAGGGTCTTGTCTTCTCCTTACCTGCATTATAATCAGCCATTTGATGTTGGATTTGCTGTAATGTGTAACATAAATAAAAAATCGAACAGTGCCCCATATTCGCAGTAGCACAAATGAAAGAGGAACAAGAATGAGCTTTCTCTCTGCTGACTGAGCAGCTCTGCTTGATCTGTAGCTTAAATCCAGGTTTTCAAACTTGCTCACCTTCATCTAAATATGGAATAAAATAATGTAGCGATTCAGTCTGAATGAAAATGCACGAAATGAGAGAAAATTTTTACTAATCAGCGGCCATCTTCAATTTGGAAGAAATTATGGAATATTCAGGAGGCATGATTATATAGCACGGAACTGAAAAAATTTCTTTTGCTGATAAGTTTGTGCTTCACAACATCAAAGTGTTATGTTTTCAATTTTTTTGTCAAGTTTTTAGATATGAAATTAAATCTTATAGCATTCTAAAATCACTATAGTCTATGAATGTCTTTTTAGTTCTATATCTCACTCATTCAGATTAAAATGAACAACTTGCCAAAAAGGAAATAATAAAACTAATAAATTATAAATTAACAATATTAGAATATAATTAGTTATTAAAGAAATAGATTAATTAGAATGAATGTTGAGTGCAGTCACTCATTGGTGCAAAATTCTTCCCTTCCCCCTCCCCCTAAAATACTTTTTGTCAATTCTTGGAATCCAGGAAACAGTGGTGACTTGTAATGATAAGATATAATCTTAATAAAATATTATTTTACCATTGATATAATGTTTTTTAAAGCTGTATATATACTTACATCGTGCCTCATTCCTCTCTTTATAAGAATATACAATATGGTGATGACAACAAAAGCGRACACTTCCCAGAATTTTCCTGCAATTAGCATCCATTCAACCTGTTCCTTCCATGTTAAATCATGAGTGTTAATCCAACACCAACCAGACGAGACAACATCACCATTATTACCAAATTTATTCGTAAAGGCTCCCGTGCAGACGATAATACAAGGAACTCCCCAACCAATAATATGAAAAACGCTCATTAGACGTTCAGCCAAGGCGATCTTTTTGCGAGTRCACCCCACAAAYAAGTAAACAGCTAGGAAAACGGTCCAAAAGAAGGAACAGAGAATAAAGAACGTGCCGATGATGCTYTGAACAAGGCAGACTGTCTTATTTGGTGGCGAAAGAAGTGCGACAATGTTTCCAATGGCGGCTACAAAATCAGCAACGGAGATGAACAAGAGAATACGSCGTGAAGAAGTCTGAATGTCTTTCCAAATGAAATACGTTATTATTATGACCAGAGTACCGATTGCTGACAGGAATCCAGATACACAAGAAAGAACGACATTCAGGCTGTCTGAAGACAGAAAATAGCTAGCGGTGGTTGTGGGAACTGCTGTAGTATTCATTTTGAAGCAGAGTACGTTTAGATACGTTCACAGCTGTATTAGACCTATAAGGACTCGTGTTGCTCAATGTCGCTTTCAATAGTTTGACACAGGAAGCCCACAACACAAGGTCAAAAGTTAACTTTTTTTCAGCTCTAGATCTGTTCTGGTTTAAGCCAATATGATTGATAACAAAAATTGTGTCACAAATATATGAGTTTTAGCATTATAGACTTATCTATTAAGCTTTTCTATTCTGATATTCTATGATGTCATTTTTAAAAACAACAGAATCACGAGATGTGCGTGACGCAATCATCGATACGTTTCGTTATTGTTCTCTAAASATGGTCATGACGTGACAGGTAACGATAAAAGGAAATCTATTGTCTTTAACGCGCTTAAAACACCACTTATTGCTATGAGCTGCTTTAAGTAAGACGTGGATGTMYAATTGACCGATSYCGATTCATWGTACTAACTCCCWAGTTACTGTTGCTACKTCTGACAAGCTAAAATATTCCTTTGATATAGAGCATGGAAAAGATACCGATTKCTGCGATRTGTAGRAGCTTGCCTTGTGTTATATGTTTTTTTACATTTCCATCAGGAAAAGCTAAAAATATTCGATTTTGTGTTTGTTGCTCGGACAGTTTCAATTCCACTGGTAAGACTGCCCATTGTTTGGTAATTAATCTATGTAAAGAAGAGATGAGTGAATAGCAGCCTTCGGAATATCCCAACGCCCCAACTCCGCCTCCCGGCCACCTCCGTCAGGAGCTCWTAGCACTGCAAAAGTAAACAACATACACAAATTTAAGACTTAGTGAAAGAAAAAAAAAACAAAATGAAAACACGAACCGAACCGAAACAAAAAAAGAGAGAAATGGAAAATGACCAAGATCTTGAATGTCCAATGTGAGATAATGTCACTCTCAATGACTGTTTCATATTTTAATATGCTTTTTCTTTCAAGATATATGTTTTACAAATATATCGTTCTCAGAGCTAAATACATCCATACAAGACCATAAAATAACCTAATTCACATTTGAACTTATGGATATACAACATTTTGATTTCTTTATATTATCAATAAATGAATACAAAACCTCGGTAAAAAATGAACTATGAATAAAATCCATTATAATCAAGCAAATCTCAGTGCATCGCAAATCATATGGCAATCATACACAACTAAAAGGAACATGGCCCACCAGCATCCCTTGCGAGCTTTTGCTCATGTTTGAAAATATAAATACATCGTAATATAAGCAAAAACTTACGCTTTATTATCCCTTTATACTATATGAATGGAGATATTGTAAGATTCGAGCTTCAAATCGATGGATGGAAACGGATTCAAAGTCATGCATCACTTCATTTTCCATATATGAAAAATCTAAAACACGACCGCATTGAATGCTGGTGGATCATGTCCATTTAATGATGTTGGGTAAAAATGTAAAGCGCGTGTTACAAAATATTACATGCAACTCTATCTTTTGAATAGAGATTTACTTCAAAAAGCTGATAAAAAAATCCTTCTGGTGTTAAAACAATAAAGAAAAAAGTATAAATTTTAATACCGAAATACAAACAAACCAAATTGATCGGAAGTCTTTTMAAATTGTTGGGCTATCTTGTGTTTTTCGATCGGTTCGCAGCCCACTTGGACCCATGTTTTCGGCAATGTATAACGTCTATTTGTTGTGAAAWGTATATATTATATAGAGATATATGTATATACCACTTACAGCCGGCGTTTTGGAAAGCATTGAAGTGCAAGAGCTGCTTTTAGCCACTCCACAAACCAATGACCAAMACAATCTCAGTGCATGGCAATAGAGAAGGGACCAACAATGCACTTCGGTCTTGRAATGCACTATCCCGTATCAGTATTCAACGTTTTCTGAAATATGTGAATATATGATTTTTTTTCCTATGATATAGATAGCTATATAGAAACTTTTATATACAAAATTTGCAATATATATATATCACTAGCAGAGATTATTGTGCAATAATACACGGTATCTTTCTAACTATGACGCAGTTTTTTTCCTATCTTTTGGGACATCTTGGACGTCTYTTAAAGATTCATCCAAATTGTTATCTTCGTCGATTTCATCATCATCTTCATCATCRCTATCATCACTATCACTTTCGTCTACAACTTGTATCGTTGCTTGAACTGGAAAATTTCTTAGCAGTCTTTCGCCAGCTTCGTACATATAGTCATAGACTGCTTTYGTCCAGTACAATCTAAATAAATCATAAATCAGAAGAGGCTGTTAATCAAAACGATTTGACWCTAAGAATGGGATTCCTGTGGTCTTAATCGGGTCGTTTTAGTTTCACGGGGGGCGTTCAAGTTTAACCGGACACTTGCACGCCTTAAGCTTAGTATTGGAGTTGGATATGTGTCGTTGTGAAAGACATGCTTCATAGGGCTTTTCTGATATATTAGTTTTCATTGCATTGTGGTCTAGATTCGGTACAAACATCTTTGTTCATACTGCCAAATATGGTGCTGTTTGTACTGAAGCTAGACCAAAATGAATGCACCATGATTTTGTATTTCAGAAAAGGTCTATGTAGCGATGAAAGTYATGAAAAACTCAAACTACCTGACTGGGTGCTTGAAGGTTGTGTTATAAGGCTGTGACGGATGGAGAGATTGGGCATCAATGTGGCATCTTTTGTAAGGCTGTAAATTAAAATAATGCATAAGAATAAACCTCGTTTCCATGCGAAAGGATAAGTGCCTGGTAACGACGCTATTTTTTAACTGTTTGGCATTAGAATTAGAGACCAAAATTGTCCGAAATGAAGGAATAAATAYATAAGAAAAATGTATTTAAAATGTACTGCACTAAATATTTTCGAAGTAAATATCATCAAGAAAAACTTATACTAAAAAACGAGGGTACAAAAAGAGGAATAAATGGTGAACGCTGTAATAAATCCACCGATTTTCCAGCTTGCAAACAGCTGCATATTGGCCCCACCCTCCCCACCCTCAAAATTTATTATAGGAAGTTAATTTTCCTGTACTTATCAGATTAACTTTTTATAACGAACAAAAATTAGTCGAGTGAAAAGTATATAATGATTGAAATAAAACAAACATCCATAAAAAAACTAAATTCACAACAACAACAACAATAACAACATTGATGACAAAAAATCTTTTCGACAAGGCAGCAAAATTTTAAAATACTATGACAATTTTTGCAAGCAGGTGTTATAATTCAACTTTTCCCAAAGTCAACGACAATAAAAAACGACGGATTTGATTCGTTATCTGCTCCTTGATAATGTACGCGCTGAAGTTGGAGTACAGTGTGTTTTAGAAAAACCGAGCTGGTCATCAGTTASGTTCTGCGTTGAACTGAGAAAAAGATTTCTAAGAGAAATTCAATCAATGTAAAAACTACTTAAGACTTTAAAAAGCTTGCACCCAAATATACAGGYACGTATCTCTGGTATTAAACTGGTATTGGGGTTTTGAATTGACAAGAACCTGCCTGGAATTCAAGATTAAATATGTTAATGAGCTATCAACGTGAATTTTTAATGAGGTTTTGACCGAAAAAAAGTCTTAATTCATTATTATAAAAAAAAACATTCATTACATTTTGCGATACTTAAACAGCGGAAAAATTACTATTGCACTGTTGTGAAGCAAGAGAATGTGTGAAAATAATTCAAAAGACATTTCTGAACGGAAATGAACGCTTTCGAATGCTATGGGAACATTTTAAGAGCGAGAAAAAGTAACGACTACAAGCAGAGCAACCAAAAATTGCTTAATCCGTTTCAAGACTCTCAAATCTTTACTAGTRTGATACTTATTTAAACTTTCCAGTTATTTATTAAAAACGTTCTGTCAAACTAAGTAACTAAAATACAGAATTTGAAGCTATATCAAATGTGTAAAAKATAGCAGTTAAAGTGCTTGCACGTCGGGTGACTTTCTTTGTTCCTTGAGTGAGTTTGGCAGATGGTGTTTCATTACTTTTCTACCAGGATAGGCAACCATAATCTTTTGTTTCAAAAACAGGGATTTATCAATAAAATACAAACAAAACAAGGGCTTTAGTTCGAATAAAACTGCACGGAACTTATACAATGTGACACSGTTGTGAAAGGCGCGAAAACGACGCGCGCGCGTGTTTGAAATTAGTCTTTAACGCGCTTTAACGCTACAAAACATGTTAAAAATATCACCACTCTTTATTCTAATAAAAAACAAACATTATATTTGCTTTTATTTGTCCGTGAGCTCAATTTAAAAGCGTTTTCATTTTCATAAATGTCAAAAATTAGTCCGTATATTTGAATATGTCTCAAGATTGCTTTTCAAGTGCAGCGAAAAAAGCTTTTAAGCCTCTCAAGGCTTGTTACTTGGGATTTATTAACATTTCCAATCAAACAAAGAAAACATGCATTAATTACGCATTTAGTTAAGACACTTTAAACATATAGCTGTTTTGAAAAAAAGTGGATAAACTTAACATTTTAGCGTTCGTGTGTGAARCCATTCTTTTAAATAAAGATGGGAGACTTATACGTATGTACTAAAATTCGTACTTTGGTTCTAAGACTTCACTTTTTATATATATAATAAATAACAGATAGTAGAACATCAGTTCCGTTTGAAAAGCTTTTATGCTTGCTCATAAATCATCGTAAATGCTCTCTGTTCACTTTTATGGCAGCCTTTAACCGTAGTCATAGATATTAGTTCGTGAAAGGCGCTTCCTGGCCAAACTGGAAATTATTCCTCGTATATTTTTCCGGCCAGAAAACCAGAAATTCATCTTTTTATGAACCATTTTTAACTTAGTAACTATTAATTCAGAAAATTTATCAAAAAAGYGAATTCCCTTTAGTTGAAAAGTACTAGAACTCTGAATTAAAATTATGACAATCGAAATCGCCTTTTAGCGGATTTACTAACGACTCAAGAAACGAGAAAAGCCTTGTTTTTAAACGCATTGAAAACACCTTTAAACTTGTTGTGAAAGGAAAGTTAAAAGCCTTTACATTACGTGAATTTTGAGGAAAAGGAAATGATACTTTTGATCGAGTCAATGGGTTGTGCCCGGTAACAACAAAGTACAACATGAGTGTAAGAGTTTCATTTTCACTGCGCGAGGGAAGGCCATTTTCCGTACTCTCTCCAACATCCATTTTCAATATTTTTCTTCGCAAAATCTCAATACCACACTTTTCAAATTGACTTTTTTTTCTCATTTTCAAATGGCCGTTATAAATATCTGCGCGTTTTTTAATGAATAAAACTTATGTCGCCCTGGCCATTTCCCGCTCTAAAAGACACTATTGATTGAATTTCTCTATCTTGTCAAACAATATCTGTAAAAAAAATGAACTGTTGAAACTGTTTCAAGAGGCAAAGAACAAATATTTTCGCTGATTACTTCGCTTGACAAGACGCTAGTTTGCGCGCTTTAGCAGTTTTTAAAAAGAAGTCGCAATGGTTGAACAACATCATCTTCAAAGTTTGAAAGCAAGGCGAACWAACGATATATGATGTAATGCCATCAACGTTTTGATCAAGTAAAAAGCAAACGTTTTYAAACAGAAGTTTATTGGGTACTTGACTTGGCGCAGTAACCAAAGACAGAATATGAATATGGTTCAACGATTGATCGCCAGTGAAAACAATAAACAAGTCRCTTGTCAAGGATTCCTGTATAAATATTGGAATACGCGTTGGTATTTTTTACAAAATGTTGTCATTTTTAGGTTTAGTTCTTGTCTGAAACCCTGAAATATAGTTGCACGAATTTCTAAAGGGATTTAGTTCAATCAAACCAGCGCGTAAAAAACGATTTCCCGGATAAATGAAATGAGTCGATGAGTCAGAAATATTTGACACATATAATCAAAATACTCTTTTTTATATAACAATGAAACGTTTTCGGTATAAATGAAGAAATATAGTATGCAACTTTGAATGATATGATKGTTAAAAAGCGCCAAACTGGAAATACTTTAAACCTTTACAATAGAAATTTGTCAAGGGCCAGAAGGCGGTTACAATCGATCACTTCCCGCTCGCRAGAGAACTAGATTCCTTTTTTATTCGAAGTACGTATTTAAAAGATCCACATATAACTATTCCCAAATTTTCACTTAGTTCTCTTTCTAAAATCGATTCTTTCAATTCAAAGCCCAACACTTTTGTTGTGAAGGTTAATTGTACGTGGAACCGGAGAACAAAAACAAGCCGTGAGCTACACGCAATATGTAACACTAACATGAACTCTAACACCTCGAAAAATACCACATAAAAAATCACATCCAGGCTGAATTAGTGATATAATTTATCAAAATGTAAAAAAAAGGTAGAGTACATTGATGAATAGGTCTTCGCGCTATTAACTACATTGCTCTCAAAACAGAATAAGGCACCAACTCTGGGATTAATTATATCTAAAAACATTTTTTGCGGGGTTTTTCTAACACAAATAAAGGTGTTTTTTTAATAAGTCGACGGATTTTCTAAAATTTCTTGATATGGCAACGATAATGATGATATATAYGAGATAACTTACGTGTGCTCGAGTAAGCTTCTTTGTCCCTTTTGTCTCTTCGTCCCATGGACGCCAAAATTTGGAACTAAAAAGATAAAAAAAACTTGGGTTAACTGCAAGAAATTTTCAAGCTTGGAAAATCCCAGCGAGCATACCAGTAACTACAGTTACACATGAGGCGTTTTAGTTAGTGAAAATCGTAGATATAGTCCACAATTGTATTTTAGCCAAGAGAGTTTTTGGTACCCCCTCTGTCGGACGTACAGGTTACGYCGAAAATGTAGGCTCAATATCGAGCGCTGCGAGTTTTTGTACGATGACTTTCAAAGGATTCGTGCAATGAATACATTATTTTCAAGAACACGCTACGGATCGGTAAACGCAGCCATATATTGACTTAGACAAACACCGAATACTAAATTTTCACAAGACATGCAAAAGCCATTCAACTGTTACARTTTTTCAATGGTWTTCCGCGCGAAAAGCGAACATACCTTTTTTCGGCGGGAAGCTGCCCGCATCGGTCCATTTCTACGCGAGATGTTGTTCCTGTGGTGGCTTGCTATCGATCTAAAGCAAGAAAAGCGAACTCCATTTAGTATTAAAGAATTAATGAGCCCGCGGCCCGTCACGGAATAAAATGATTGGAGGCTAATAGATGAATGAAAAGCCATTTACATGTTCTGAAAAAAGCCAATAGATTGCTTGATCGTGTGGAGGGAAGAATTGCTTTCCAGTGAGCCAAAATGGCGTTCGAGACAACGTTTCTTGATGTAAATTATTCCGTCTCAGCCGAGGTGCTAAAAGTCAAAACAAGACAGCCTTCCAAGGCGATAATCAAACTTTGTACAGACAGGCCTGTCCGGTGTTGCTATGAACAATGCAAATGAAATGTTCTCGCGAAGGCAAGATCTCACGACACAGGGAACAAATTACAAATTAAGCTCCTARCTACGTTTTCCTAACCAAAAATAGTCCGAGTCGAGGAATGGGTTGTCTAGACTATTGAAACTCGACTTGTCAAATTCAATAAAAGAGTTAGCACCTTGCAACCAATCACAAACAAGTTTTGTACATTTGTGCAAAATTTTGATCCTTCGCTGTCTGCAATGGGTTTGCATCAGGCAATTTCAATAGCTTTACAAATTCGTGCTGGACTTTAATCACAGACMTAATCWTCCAGTTGTTAAACATATGGAGCCTTTTTATACTCTTATTTGCGCAAGATATCGCTACATGGYTCTCATTAGCCTTTCAGCACGAGACGCCTGCAACGGGTCTCAAGTTCGCKCTCACGCAAGGTAAACGTCTCGTAACACACCATAAAACAAGCATTTTMAATGCCCTGCTTTTRAAAAAGAACTTAWTWAAAAATTTTGTAGTAGTTTTGGAAAGTTCTTGGTACTAGATTCACCTGATTTAGAGGRTCATCGTTAAGGGGCGTGCAAGGGCTTAACTCGGTTGCTTGCYACTCCAAAGCGAGAACTCTTTGAAAAATGCCGCTTTCACAGGTGGCATYGGAATTTCATAATCCAAAAGCATGGATAAAAGCTTTTAAAGSAATTCTAGATGGCAAAAGACATGTAATTGTTTGCACAGTTTCTATAAATAAAAATATGCTTGGAAACTTTATTTTTGTTGCTTGATATAAAGCAGCTTCTTATTGGTTGATTCTAAAGTGTGATTTGATTGGACACMRCTGAAATAGCATKTGTTTGTCACTTMGAGATCATGAGTGAAGTTGGACGACAAATGCTTTGAAATTCYTGCAAATTTCYCCAAGAATAATCTTAAAGATACTCCGATTGCAATAGCTATTGAAAGTAATGCTATTRTGTTAAGAAATATTCGATAGTTTCTGCAGAAATCGTTTAAATGGTGAGTTTAATGGAAATTTTAAAATGGCGCCAATTTCACTTAGCAAATTTTTGTGAACTTAGCTATTTAAGCGATTTTTTAAGGTAATATTTGGAAGACACAAAAATTATGTTTTCGATATCAACCCAAAGCTTGACAATGCTAATTTAATTGCACTGTGTAACACCTCAGGCGTTTAATTCGGCGACTAAAGATCAGAGTGTTGCCTAGTGATTCGTGTAATACAGGTATAGATCAGAATATACTTAAGATTAATGAATTTAAATTTCATCTATCATAATGCCCAGATAAGAAGATCTTACTGACGTTTGTAAATTGTTTCCTTGAAGGGACTAGACTTTTGCAAATYCCATTTTTCCATTTATAACTTTTTCTTTCATTCGATATATTAGTTTTTTATTATAATTAACTTAAGTTATTGCTTTAAAAGTTTATTTTGTCTGTTGGTTCCATTTGCAAACAAAAATAAATTCATGAGAAACTTGCTTTCAGTATTCAAAAAATTATTAATTAAAATTAAATAATTAATTTTTAAAACAGTATTCCTAGCACATGACAATTTTTTTCAATAACTTAATGTCAAGACTTAGCTTCGCCAAACAAAAAGATTTTGGTACCAAAGAGGATGAAAGTTATTGGCATCTCAAGTAATCACTAAAAGTTAATTAGATGTCACTAAAGCTAGTAATAACTAAATATAAATACCGACACCAAAATAACGACACTTTATTTAAACAAAGGTTGACACTATTTAAAAAAATCAGAAATGAAACTTTTGTTCCGGTGAAATGATTAAAAATGTTTTGAAATCGTCACATCAAAATCATTAACAAGTAAATGTTAAATATTGGAAAAAATGAAAGGTTTTTACCTTTAACTGTTGTACATGTGGTTCATCAATTAAGGGCATCAAGTTTTTATCTTCAGTTTCTGTAAGCAGCATTCTGTATTCCAGATTTTGTAAGCATTTCTAATGTAAGCCTTTTTTCTACAGGGATCTGGAGCTTCCATACTTCCTGAAGAAACTATCAAAGCCTTGGAGAGCTCTACTATATGTAAGCAAAAGAAATGATATTTAATAAGACACTTCACAAACCCTTGTAGAAAATGATTTATAATAACAACTGTAAAAATATCATATCTATGTGAAAATTTAGCGAATTAATGTCATTCTCACCTTTTAATGCCTTTATTTTAGGACCATTCTCCTTTTAAGACTGCATGAAAAATTTCCAGGTGCTTGGTTAATTCCTTTTTTATTGGCATGCCAACTTTTATCAGATAAGCTATATGCCAAATGTTTCCTATTGCTGAATGCTTAATTAATTCCAAGTAAAKTTCCTTTTGAAGTACCTGTCATGTGTTTTCATTAACTCAAGATTGAAGGGTCAATGTTTTCAATTTAGGTTTGAAATGGTGCCGGATTAATGAAACTATTTGATTTGGGGACTTTCAATATAAAGCAAAAGTCATTGTATTTTGATATTAGGAACTCAAAAAATCTCAGTATTTGATACTTTTCAAGATATTTTGTAGAGGAAAACGTCCTTATTTTAAGTTTAACTTGTGTGTCAGTTAACTATGAGAAATACTTCAAGTAGCTTTCTTTAGGTAGACAATTCAATGCCACCAAAATTCATGAGTCAATGGATTCATTTATAACCTTTTAAATGGAAGTTTCTTTTTTCTTTGAATTTGGATTTGAAGCTGAGCATAACAAAGTTTGCTCATAAATTTTCTTTCAAAAAGTACTTAATATTATAATAATTGATTTTCRTTTCTGAGCATTTCAAAAAAATGTGTCTTTGGTTATTTAATTGACCGAAATTTCAAAATGAAAAGGGATTTTCTGCTTTATTTAATATTAATTTTAAGGACTGAATGGCTGTCAGTTTTTTTTATCTTGGATTGAAAATTGAAAACAATTGAAATCATGCCAGCTGGCCATATGGTCAGGGCTGCCAGGTAATAYCTGGCCTCAAAGACCAGAGTAAACAATTATAAAACCACAAAACATTTAAAAGTCAATTCTTAATAATACTACTCACAAAAGGCTCAAAAAATGACAGTTCACATGAGAAACTGTCATTTCAATCAAGGCTGCATGAAGAGAGAATTTGGATTAAATCAATTAGCTAACTGAGTATAGCCCCTTTGTGAAATCTTTGTTGATGGACCAGAAAATTTTGAAAGAAAAATTTATACCAGTAATGAAAAGTATTCTCAAAAGTGGATTTYGTTACTGGGGTATAATTGCTAATATTTCTTTGAAACCTACTCTAAAGTTAGTGATTTTGAGTTGCGCTTGTTTAGGTGTTATGTTTTTTTGTTTTGAAATATTCTGACTTAGAAAAACCATTTCCAATCAAAAAAATTTGATTGTTGAAAATGGCATGGTTTGAAACATCTTATTTCCAGGTTTAGGCATCACTTAAAGGACAGTAACATCCCCTCCCCCCTCCCCTCTCCTTCCAGCCAAATTTTTTAGGCTTTACAAGGCCCTGATAATTCATCGGAAAATCAAGAACATGAATGCAGAGGGCATTAGGTAAAATTAAAAAAATGAAAAAAAAAGCTAAAAGTGGTCCACCTTCAAAAAAGATTCCTGAAAATTACAGGTACTAAATTTTATTTTTTTCACTTCTTCATGCTTTGCAGTTACTTCAAAAGAAATTATTAGAATTTTGAAGCGTTATTCCTACTATGACCCCAACAACACACAACAAATCTCTTTGGAAGCCTTTCTTGAATTACCTGAAGTGTCTGCTAATCGTATCATGAAGAAAATTGGAAAGAAGTTTGTGGATCCAGAGACTCAGTGCTTGACTCCTAGTGACTTTGTTAAACTGTTCTCTGCCTTGAGTTCAAGAACACCYTTGAAGGACAAGAAAGAATGTAAATTTATACCTCAGTCTATGGCTGTTTGATTTTGGTGACTGCAGTATATATAGTGTTATAATTTTGAAGTTACTGAATAACTTGAAGGATATGAGTCACAGCACAAACTGTTGCATTATCAATTTGAAGCTGTAAAGAAAATTGAGTTGGGATTTGGGTTTTTCTACRACTTGGGGGCTATAGCTATGTACTACAAATCAACCAATGACTGAACAAGTTTATGGAAAACTCCAGCCCTAAAAAGATCACATAGGAAACAACAAAATCCAAACAAACTTCAAAACAAATAACTTTGGGATGCAATGATTTTCACTGTTAAGGACCATGTTCAACTGGGATCCCATTTTTGTTTAATGATTGATAATGAAATTACATCTTAAAATTAATGTATTTTCAAAAGAAACATTTATCTGRAAAAAAAAAGGAATTTGCCAGGTTTTTACACAGCTTCTAGAGCAAAGAATATAATCTACTTTAGTACTTCAGGGCATTTTCTATCAGTTCGAAAAAAAAAATTCTACCCCTTTKTATAAAAGTATCCTCTTTTGGTAAATTAAGTATGTTTTTTTTTTAATTCAGTTGCCTTCAAAGTACTTGACACAGATGATAATGGATACCTGAGCTATGAYGAGTTGTTTTCCTTCTATAGAATGCTGTTTGGACCAGCACTCTCAGATGACAGACTACTTGACATCGTCATGACAACCATCAATGACAATAGTAGCAGCAAGCAAGGCCTGACTTATGAAGACTTTCTGAAAGTAAGAGAWTAGTTTTAGTCCATTCTTTATTAACACTTTCGCCAACAATTGTTTTTCACCTTGGATTTTCTTTTAGCAAAGGCCATGATGACAGGGCTAACATATTCACTATCAGGGCTTTGCAAAATGCCTTTAGATGCAGTCCAAAGATGGATCCAGCAATTTAGCAATATTTACAAAAGAGGAGGCTATAAAGCCCTGAATCCTCCCAGCCTCCAGCCACAAGGGGGAGGAGGAGGGGGGATCTGTTGAGTACTATAGGGTGATGTAGAGAATTGGAACTTTTTATGTTTGCTTTAGTAGAGCCTCAAACAACTTTGTATAGAAACTACTGGTGCAGCATTTTAATCAAACAAAACCAAACAAAGAGCCATAGGTTCCACCACCAAGATAT